ACAGCATGCCAGTGCTGCTGGAGTGACTGAGCATGGCCAGCCTGGGCTGCAGAAAGGCCCCCTGACCCTTGCTGGAGCCATCAGTGCGTAGTTTAAGTCATGACATCACCAGTGCAGCGCAGGCTTGAGCGATGATACAGCAGGGACAGGGGACCTTGGATGCCCAGGGTGGGGAGGGAGCAGGAAGAAAAAGAGAAGAAAAGAAAGAGAAGGAGGTTTGTTTTCTGTTTTCTTTGCTGCAAGTCTCAGCAATACACCCTTGCTGTGTTAGAGCAGCGTCTCTGCTTTCAGGACACTGTAAAATGCACAGACTAAAAGGGAAACAATAACACTGCCTTACTCCCAGTCAAATCCTGCTTTATCGTAGGTAGTGGGAGGCTTGAACTCATTCCTCATCTTAATTCCCATGCCCTGGTGCGGCACCAGCTCCTCTCCCCTCCGGCACCAGGAGGGAGTCTCCCCAGGGCTCTTCGCCCCTGGGCACCGAGCCTGGGCTGTTGTACCACGGTACATTAGAGCAGATCTAACCCTGTAAGCCCCACTAATCCCTCCAGGGCAGGAAAACGCTGTTTAACGGGAGGGATGCAGCGGAGTGCAGAGGCTGTGGAGCACGGAGACCACGGTGTCAGGGGCAACAGTGGGAGTCGGCGGGGATATGGTAGTGTTTACCAGAGGTACTCCAGACTCCCAGTCCCCAGGTGTTCGTTTCTGGGGGGTCCTAAGGATACCCCGGGCCGAGATGAAGGACACAGATTTTAACCCGAGGCCTCCGGGGCTGCAGCCACAGCTCAGTCCCTGCTCAGTGTCCACACTTCATCCCAACCACCACATTTGAAAGGTCTCGAGCTGCTGTTTCCGTACAGAGGGTTTCTTTCTTTTTCACTGATTTATTGAAAAGAGTAGGGTCTTCTGGCATCCCTCAGGATTTCTAGGAAAGGTATTTAAAAGAAAAACCCTTGGATCTGTAGGTTTCCATCAAAATAACGGCACCTATGATGACAGGCAAAGTATAAACGCTTAGGCAGACAAAGATAAGCGTTGGTGCTGTGGCTGCCTATTTAAATCAGATCCCACAAATGCCGGTCTGGACAGGAAAGACCCAAAGCCTTTCTTGCTCGTTACGTGAGCCTAAGCAGAAGACCTTTATTTGAAGCTTATTTCTGCTTTCATATGTCACAGCAGCGGTATTCTCCAGCAGTGGAGGGCAGCTTTTCTCTAATTTTAGATCTTTCTCTCAAAAGATGGCAGCTGACAACAGAGACAGGCCTCTGAAAAGGATGGATTTGAAGGCTTGCCTTTTACTAAAGATGTACAAGCTGTGCAGCGCGGCAGTTCTTGTGAGATCAAACCGAGTGGATTTCAGATTCAAATCCCACCCTACTTTGAGGTCAGACTCCAGGCAATGTGTCCCAAGCTGCTCGCCAACAGAAAGGCAGGCATAGCTTTTTTTAACACAAAAATACAAATTGTGAGAGTCAAGGAAGGGGAGCAGGAGCAGGGATAAATGATTTACACACAGCAAACCCGATGAGGAAGTCAAACAGATGCTTTACTGTCTCCCCGTGCTCCAGGCTGGATATGTCCGTTTCTAAACAGAGCTTGTTGCATCTCAGTGGATCCTTTCAGGTAACAAATTGTCCTGCAAGATTCAAGGCAAATCTTCTCTGTTTCCCTCATGAACAGAATATTGCACCTACTAAAAGGCAGAGCCAACCCACCACATTGGCAGTGATAGGAAAACCTCACCAGGTCATCTGCAATCCCAATATTTGTGTCCTCTATATGGTCTGATGAGCTTTCAACAGCAAGCTTAGGAGACACTTCAACAAGTTGCTTTACAGCATCTGTTTAAATTATTAAGAGACTTCAGTGAAAAGCTTTATATATAAACAGAGCATTTTGACTTTGTAGCCTTGTGGTTTGTAATATTTTGCTATTGAAAGCAAAGTTTCCACAAATACTGAGTCAAAGTGGGCAAGGAGAAGCTACCAGCTGAGTTACTCATGGGGGTGACTTAATTTTTTTTCCGTGGAGCTACTCTCTTATTACAGAAATGTCACCTTTTCTGTCCTCCCTTGGGGCAAGTGATGTGTTCTGCCCAGAGCCCTTTTTTTGTCATCAGAAGGAACGTAAAGCATCCATCTAATCCATCCATGTGTCTACCTAATCTCATTCTGGCTGTTGCTGTGATGGCCAGATAACAGATATGAAAATTAGGGGTTGTCTAGCAAGGCACAGCTCTCCTTCTGAATGACTTCCTATAGGGAGTGATGAATCTCTATGGCTCAGAGGACTGCCCTGACAGACAGGCAGCAGCCTGGAGACCCAGCTTCCAACTCCCATATATGTTTTACATTCACTTCAACATAATTTTTAAAAGGAATTTTGTATCGGATTTTGTTCAGGTGCGCATTCATCATTTATCAATGTGTTGTGGAGTTAAAATTTTAAAGGGATGTTGTAAGGCTATAAACAATCTTGGCCTGTTTCCCTTTTGCTAATCAGGTGCTGACAGCCACATAAGTTGAGTGGGAAATGCCTGTCTCTGGCCTGCACTTATTTTGCACAGGAGAGGGAGACAGGGCAGAGCCCAGCATCTCACAGAGGAGTTCAGAATCGTGGACCTTGAGCATATTCTTTTTGGAGTGTTCAGCAATTACTTCCCTAACTTAACAGACTGAAATTTAAATATCTAATTTAGTTTTCAGCTGCATGTTATTAGCCTTTTTCCCCCCTTTCAGTTTGAATTGTAAAAGAGAGAAAAAAAGAAGACAGAAAAACCTAGGCTTTCCTCTGTAGCCAGGCCCCTGGTTTGTTTTCCTTTTCAGTCTGATGCACAAGGCTCCACTACAGATTTGCAAATGCTGCTGGAGAGTGTTCATTTACATCAGAACATGCTGTTTGCAACTGATTTTTAAAGCTCCACTCTCCTTCTCTATTAATTTTATGCTGTGAAATAAAATTGTGCAAAAAAAAAAAAATACATGCAATGATTTTGACAGCAAACTAAATAAGGGGCTCTGCAGGAGATGCCATCACAGATTTAGCCCATTTTGTTTAGCCGAGAAGGAGCAGGGGAACACTTGCTTTAAGAAAAATCTCTCTCCAAAGAACAGCAGCTAGGGAGGTGGAGACTGGTAGGCAGTTGCTGACTGAGGAGTGCCTAAGCCTGGGAGTGCTTACCTACAGGCAGTTGTTTTCCCTTTGGAGAGCAGGGAGGTGTGTGTGTTACTCTGACATCCAAAGAGGAAGAGTCTCTCTTATCCTCCAAAGGGGCACTTTTCCAGTGGCTTGCTGTCCCCTGCCAGCAAAGAGCAAATATCTGTCTTCATCTTTTTCCTCCCCTTTGACTGTGAGTGCCTTAGTGCCAGCCTGTCTTTAAAATAACTTGGGGAGCATGCCTACAGACACATCTTGGCAAAGGAGGGAAAGGGAGGAGTGCAGTGCAACCAGTCAGGCAGAGACTCTTGTTTTCTACTCGGAGCAAAATGAAGCAAAGGTCTTCATGTAGAAGAAATAGCAAATGGAAAAAAAAAAATCAAAAACGAAAAGGCACAATCATCATAGAAATGTTACACTTGTCTGTACACTTGGATCTCCTGTGATGAGACCATACATGGAGGAGAGACCGTTAATATTTTTCAGATAAACATGACATTCCTCTGTTTCTGCTGAAAAAAACACCCCAAGGTCGTGGTGGAAAAGGTAGTTTTTTCAAGAGCTGGAGCACAACCCTTTCCAGCACCGATGAGGGAACACTTGGGTGACCTGTACACCCCCTCCCCATCTGACTTCACCTATTGGGAGGTGCCCACTCTGTGATCCCCAGGGAGCCCATATCCTGCTCAGCACCCCTGGGACGGCTCTACAGCAAGAGAATGCTGCCTGCTGCTAAAGCTGCTGCTTGTGATCTTTGCATCCATCAGTCGCCAGTGCCACCGGCAGGGGACTGGCACTGCTCTCCAATCTCCTTAGCACCAAGCAAATTACCGGCACTCACAAATCATTCTCACAATAATTAGCAGCAATTAGTGACTTAATGGAGAGTCTTCGGGGATTCCTAAGCGTGCCTCATGAGCGTGGGTTTTTTAGGACGCTGGAAGTTGAGAAAGCCCTGGGGAATGCTGATGGCACCTGGTAGTCCCTTATCTCTGTGCCTGCCCGGATGGGTTTGTTTGCGTGCGCCCTTCCCAGACATCGCCCCGCTGGGGGGAATTCCACCCGGCTGCGTGTGTTGGCTTTCCTGGCCAACCCCAGAGCAGCCCCAGCGAACCTCTTGGCTGCTGCCCCCGCCTCGCCCCCCTCCCACCCGTGAAACCCCTGTACGAGCCCGTGCGTGGCACAGGGGTAAACTCCAAAAGGAGGGGAACGAGCTCAGCTGCTTACCTTGCCCAACAAGGGGAAAACGCGGTGGGAACTACTTTAAAATCGATTAATTTCCTTTACCCCAGTAGGTCCTCGGCTCTACCAAGGCTCAGGCTCCCGGGTGACGCTGGACAGTCACACAGGGTTTGCTTGTTGAGGGCGCAAGGCATGAACTCCTCTGACAAAAAAAACCTTGCCTAATTAAATTTCTCGTTCTGAAAACAAAAGGGGTTCTCAGAGGAGACAACGGGGTCTCCCTGAGGTTGTTACTGTTGGGTAGATTTTTGCAAGTCATTAACAACCTCGGGAAATTGTTGATCAAATGGATGAAAATGCAGCTTTCCAGTTTTCCAGTAAACCGAGCGTAGTAAGCCACTGTGGCATAAGCATCTTCATAATGATGTTTCCGAGTCAATAGGAGGGGCCTGGGGTGTTTTAATTGCCTTAGTTTCTAAATAAATGTAAAGAGATTTGTACACGTCCTGGATGCAAATGACCTCTTGAAGAAAGGTTACCTGGCTTTCCTTGTGGATTTTGCCTCTGAAAGAAGGGGGGAAAATCCCATTAAGGCTGGGCTGTGAGCACGGTACAAGCATGTGCCCAAGACTATCATTAATGCGGACACTTACCACTTCTCATCTTGAGATATAACCAACACCTTTATATCTGTGAACCCCTCTCAGCTGCTAACGCAGGTTGTTAAGCACTCTTTCGTCTGGCTGATTTTTTTCAAGATTTTTGTGCTGTTTCACTGGCAAATGACAAGTGAAATGGAGACACATCAATAGAAATAGCACAATTACAATAGATAGATAGATAGATAGATAGATAGATAGATAGATAGTCAGTCCTCAGGTAATAACTATTTTTAGAAATTACACATTTTTGCCTTGCATGTGGGATCTCGTTTTATCTTTCTGTAATTATGGGCATTCTGCTATATAATAGGGTCTACTGCTGTATGACAAGTTATCTTGTGACATGTTGGCAGCAGTTTCAGTTGCACAAATCAATGCAGGCATTGGAAATTTAAAACAGATTTTTTACCTTTATTGCCTAGTTTAGTTTTTACCTGTTCTGTGCAGGTATATAGGGAACATTAGTCTCAGCTATGTCATTTCAGTCCAAATTCCAGATCACTATTTGCTTGAGGTAATTTTAATTGAGCTGGCTGAAGGTGAAACTCACCCCAATGAATAATAATACCTGCTCTTTTAGAAGAATGACAGAGATGAAAATAGAATTAATTCAGAGATCCAGTCCTGTGGTCTAGCTACTGGGTACACATCCTCCAAATTAGATAGGACAGAATGGGAGCTCCTTTGAAATTACCAGGCAAATGATTCAAAATGTACGCAAAAGAATGCTTTTCAATACCATACGTAATTGAACTGGGGAACTCACTGGCACCAGATAATGTGGAGGCCTCCAGCACAAACAGGTTTCAACAGGACTCAGCCAGAGTTGGGGAGATGGACTAACTGCTGCTGCAGGGCACAGAGGTTTGGCTGCAAGCTCCAGCTCAGGCAGTCCTTCAAGCCTCACATCTGCCAGAAGATGAGAATGTGGCAATGAGATGGATTATCTTCTCACCAGGTTTCTCTTACTCCCCATTCACCCTTGGCTGCTTTTGGGAGTGCACTACCAGGATGACCCAGAAACTTTGGTCTGACCCTGTGCACTGCTCTCGGTTTCTGTGTTGCAATGTGGTGCAGGTCAAGCCATGTGATCCCCAGGCACAGCAGATCACATGCATAAACAGTCAATCCAGAGCTGATGTTTGCACCCTTGCCCCAGAGACAAGACTGTTCTACACATCTCTCCTTTTCTAATTACTGAGGTTTGTGGAGAGAAAACCATATTTTCCTGGAAGGAGAATAGGCAAACCAGCTCATTCAACCCAGAGCTGGCTTTGCAGTGCCCCAGTGACCCTCTAGAGGAATTCAAGGCAGACTGCATTTTTTTGTGTGTGCTTGTTATCTTATCTTTTATGTCCTTTGGGAAGCTGTGATCTGCTTTCAACTGACCTGAACACAGTCTGACTGCAAATCTTTGTTTGAGGAAGCGCTTGTGTGACCCATATACCAGGTAGATGTAAAGAACCAGCCCAGTTCTGTCTTGTATTCAACACATGGCTCCATAGTACCTCATGTTTTCATTAGCATCACTACCAAAGATGCCAGATCAGAGTTCAGCCCTCCATCTTCGGTGGGCCCGGCACAGTCAGTGCTCTCAGACCTCTCCTTTCCCTAATCCACCCACCCTGGGGCTCAGGAAACAGCTATTTTCCAGCTCTTCCAGAGAAAGCTAGGGGTGTGGGTTCCCCCCCCACCCCACCTGTTCCTCCTTTCAGGATACTATTTTCCCCACATGCAATTATTCCCCTGTTCATTCTTCAGCAGGGAGCATACTGCCAGGAACTGGAAATGACCCTGTGGTTCACCAAGGTGCAAGACCTGCAGAGGAACACTTACAGAGGTGGAGATGACAAGAATACTAACAAAATACTATTATCCTGATACAGGAGGCTGGCTGACTGGGTCCCACAAGGTGGCTGCCTGCACAGCAATATCTCATTCAAACATTTTCCCATTCATACAATTCCGTAAACGCTTGTAGGTATCAGCTTTCCATAAATACTATGGACAGACTCTGAGTGATTAAGGCATTTATTTTCTCTGTAGGTGCCTACATCCCAAGGGTGTCACTGGGGGTGTGCTGACTTTGCCTGTTTTCTGTGGCACCCAGGAGGCTGATTTCAATTTCTACTCAGACCTCTTTCCACACTCTGGCTGTGTAAAGGAGATATGAATTGCAGACTAAATGCAGTGGTTCTCCATGAACTACCCGCAGTGGGTAAAATCCACCCTGCCAGGCCTTGCTTCAGAAGCTGTGATGCAATTTAGACAGAAGGATGGTGGGAACAGCAGATCTGTTGTAATGCTCTGCCATGAGAAGTTTTTTCATGCTAGCCTGAGAGTCAAAATGGAAAACAATAGTCTAGGGGACAGATCAGAAGGTTTCACAGGTCTGAGGTGGGTAAAGAGAAGGAACCCACGGGAATGTAAAATGAGTAAGCTCTTATCTTCTTCATTATCTGTCTTGGTAGTAAGGCTTTTGGAAAAGATTTTTTTTGAGATTTTCATGTCAGATCTTGACACTGACTGACACAATGGTAATTCCCATCCTCTTGGTTCCTTCTGTGCCTGTGGAAGTCAAGGAAGAACTTCCCAGAGCGTGAAAGGGGTTTGAATCAGACCCTGTAGTGTCAGCAGATCATGTCTGTCATAACTTATCCCTGCTGTTTACCTGAGCTACTGCAAATTCTCACCTCACTAAGGGGAAGCACTTCTAACTTACTACAAAGTGATCTTGTTTGCCTCAGAGTTTTTCAAATATAACAGTATCCCTTGTGACATAACTTCACCCATTCACCTGGCTTTTTTTAATTGATAAATACTTAGCAGCACCTGTTGTGGAAGTACAAATGACTGATGCCAGAAGAAACAGTTCCTATAATGGACAGGAGTTCATCTACAGATCCTTTACTTACAGAGGCACAATTATATGATTAGGATTAATCTAATTGTATGTCTTGAGTATGATGGATTTAGGTCTACCATTCTCTTGGAGGAACTGTGATATTTGGAGAATCCACAAAACAGGAGATATGGCTGTAGATGAGCCTGTTACATGACAGACTGGTGTCCTCAAAGACTCTTTTTTTCTTTTTTTGTAGCAAGGACTTCTTGCTAAGCTGAGCTTTATTTGTCCTAATTTCCAGCCAGTTCAAGTTTCATCTGTAATGCAAAACTCACAATGGTGTTCTGAAGACAAAATTCAGGAAGGGTCTGTTCCAAAAGCCACCAAAATACAATGGAGCGACTCACCAAGATTTGGGTAATGCCCAGACAGCTGGACAGTGGACAACTCAGTTTGCTCTGGGATAGTGAAGAAACTGGATACCAATGGCACAGGTTCACATGGGACTCCACTGCCAACATGGTATCTATGAAGTGTGTCTGTGCCCTAAGTATCCCACAAAAAGACTGAGGAAGGTCAGAGAGGCATGACCTTTATTTCTCTGATTGGACTCTGCTTACCTATTTATCTATTTACAATACTGTGTGTCTCTCCAGCCTCCCATGGGCACTCCCTTGTTTTCTTTTCCCACTGCCAACAAATAGTGGAATGTTTAGCAACAGCTGGCTGGGAGCACCCACTGCCCAGGACAGCTGGAAAGCAGAGGATAAAGAGACTCCTAGTAAAAGGCAAGAGCAGTGGATCACATTCCCTTGGGCAGAGTGGAAGTTTAGCCTTGGTCTCCCACATCCCAGTCACTTCCTGCTCTGCTCATTGGCACATAAAAAAGAAAGACTGTAAAAATACAAGCCACATATTCATACAGTGTCATATAAATTGGCCTTGCTCCAAATTTGGATTCCTGCTCTGAGCAGGAAGGGCATAGGTTAATAATTTTTAAGATATTAACACCTTTTGTTCCAAGATACTTCACTTTTTGAAAAAGGGTGTGTGTGGTTTTTTGTTTACCCTGTAAATTGTACTAAGTTAAACAGGTGCTTTTTATCAGCAGAAGTAATCACCATGACTTAGGAGAGGAAGTAGAGAAGAGGCACATGTCTCATTGGAACTGCAAAGGGAATTTAAGGAAATAAAATTGATAACTTGTGGTGGAATCAGGACATGATGCAGACCTGGAATCAGTCTGGTACTGCTGAACTGAATCTGGGACAATTAACACCACAATTTGTTTTATTAGAGTCATAAAATGCCCTATCTGAATTAGTGGTCAGGATTTAGGAGTGGGTTGATATTGAAAAATAATCATTAATTGATTATGGTGTTTTTCAAAGTTTCTGAACTGCCAGCACTGTTGTATTCACTCAGCATATCTGCAGAGAGAGGCTGTTTGCAGAATGGGTGACTCTTTTAAACTTTCTTCCTCATTAACACATTTTTTATCCAGTGAAGTTCTAAAAATGCCATGTGAGTTCAGCCACACTCTGCGAGTGGCAAATTTGCCACAACTGCCCCACTGATGAGTCCTAGGAAATAGTTTGCAAGGCCTGCCTATGCTAAACTTTGTTCAAAGGAACCGGTGTCAAAATATGAGAAGAAAACCTCACCTAACCTTGTGGAAGGTTAGAGGAAGAATCCAACTAGGGATTTGCACGCCCTTTTTACTCCTGTGGATTTGCCTGTCTTGGCCATGGACTGATGTCTTCTAGAAACATGATGCTTTACCTCTAGCAGCACAGGGCATCAGAATCACTCCAATTCAATACTACCACAGAATCACCCCGACCCAAGGTCACCAACACTCTCTGCTTCCCCCTACAGCTGGGTCTTTCATGAAAACCCCCCCTGAAAGCCTTGATTTGGCCTCGTTCTCTGCCTGAACTTCACGAGAACAGCACAAGGCAGTACAGCTGGAGGTGATGTTTGAAAAACGTCGTTGGTGAAATGTAAATACTTGTAGGTGATTGCATAGATAATACGGTCTCATGAAGAAACCACTTGATATGTCAGTGTTAATACCTGCGACCCTCCATTCCCCCGGTGTTTGTATGCGCAGTACATATTTTGCTTATAGAGTACAGAGCAGGGTTGTAATAGAGATGTCTTCAAGCTACATTTATTTGATCTATTTGTTTTTACATTATTTTTATGCTACTAGTGAATGGGCTGTTTGGGAATCAAAATGCCAAAGCTGAGGTATGAACAGGATCGCTCATCTCCATCCCCCATCATCCATGATAAAGAAATCAGAGTGGTATTGATTGTGGCAGAAAGGGGAACAGAGTACACTAAGTATGCAAGTCCATGCTAGTCGCTTAACACCTTGGAAAGGTGATATTTTTGCTTTACCTTCCTGGCAGTTTAGAGCTGTGCTGTGTACTGTGGAACAGCATCGTGTCTTTTGGGTAGACACAGGGGGAAACACCTTTCGGTAAACATCATTAACAAGCAGTTTCAGCAAATATTGGTGATTATACATCATTCAAGGTTGAAAAATGGCAAGGGAAAGATGTCTTTCTTTAACCAGCACACCACAGGCATTCATACCTCTCTGCAAAGAAGGATCCTGGCAGGGCTAGTCCCAGGCTGTCAGTTCCTGAACTGTCAGTGTCTCATTGTGTCCCAAGAGCATTTCTCCCTGGTCTTGATGACTTCGGCAGGTTTGCTGGCTGTGCCTTTAGCAATTGCAGTCCCAGTGAGAAGCTACCCCTACAATTGTCTTCACCTGTAGGCACATTAACACCCCAGGGGTGCTGAGATGCACATCCCAGGGCTGACTTCTGTTTTGGAGGTACCCAGTGTGAGTGCTAATGCTCATCTGGCTTCAGTGGACCCCCCAAAAAAGTGTTATTTCAACCAAGATAAATGTGCAGTCTGCCACTAGCATGCTTTTGGCCAAATTGCTGCCAGGCAGTGTGGCCCGTCTTCCCCCCATGATGACTGCGGCAAGGGCAGCCCCATGTCTCTAAGATCCTGGAACCCAAACACCTCTTCCTCTTTTTGTCATAGCTACTGCTTCCTACAGTTTCTTGTCTTTTTGTCTTCTGTGCTCCTGGACGAGGTCAGTCAGACTGTAACTCTCTTTCTGCTGAAGCTGAAGACCCATTACCCCTGTTGTGCAGAGCCTGAGAGATTTGCATTTATCACTGCCCCACGTGTTTAGACCTTACTGAAAATGCTCCTTACCTTTCTCACCCATTGAGCAAGGGATGTAATAACTTCCAAGCCCTTACCAATACTCAGGATATGAACACTGCCACTTCCAAACAGCCTGTGACACTGCGTCCATCACCTTGCATCTGTCATATCTCAGCCCTGTGGGAGCTCTGCTCAGACCAGCTCCAGGCAGATACACATGGATTATGTATCTCTGCTTTGAAGCAGAAGATTTTATTACTTTCTCAACGGTTATAAAATACACTCTTAGGTCTGCATGTGCTTTATCCTCCTCTCCTTCTGGGAAGTGTGAAAAACAAGGTCTGAGATTTTAAGAGCAAAGATTTTTTTTTTCTTGGTGTAGAGAAGGGGTCAAGGTCAACATGTGAAAAACTTACCTCCAGTTCCTAAAAGAAGCTATGGAGGTGTCACTGGCCTGTGACATACAACTACCCGAGGGACAAGCTTATTTGCACAGGAGAGGGTGCGTGTTAATTGATTTGTGCATGTACAAATGAGCGTGTCCGTATGTGGACAGACCAGTAGATACCAAACAGACAAGAAAGGGAAAGCTGAAATACAAATGGACAATGGCATTTCAAAAATGCAAGCCTTTGTTTTATGGTGCATTTATAACAGGCTATGCAGAAGTATGTTCCCCTGTGCGTTAAAGCAAAATGAGATCTGCAGGGAGAAGTAACACCTTTTATCAGACCAGCTGAAAACAGCCTGAAAAAATCATATATATTGGGATACACAAACACTTGCTCAAGCCAGAGCAGAGGTTTCTCTTAAGATCTGACAGAAAGCTCATGTATCTGTTAAACTTGTCTGCTTTTCATGACTTTCGGTGGTTGCAGTTGCTGTCAGGCCAAGGGATGCAGCTGTCAGGAACAGCTGGGAGCTGGCAAGGGACTCTGCATCCCCAGGGATCCCTGCATGCTGTGCTCTCCTCCCCTGCTGCACTACTCACTCCTTCAGCCAGCAGCTCCTTGCCAAGGGTCTCTGATGCACAGTCTAAAACCAGGGTTTCCTGGAACATCTTTTCCATGGAAAATGTGTATTTGTGTTGTTAAACATGCCCCACAGGGGTATAGCCAGGACATCAACGGACTCCAGCAGACTCCTCAGACTCCATTTGCCTCCCAGAGCTTGGACCTACATTCTGGAGATGCCCAGTTTCCCCACTTTGCCCAGTTTACCAGGATGGAAGTGGTCAAGAAGGGTTGGGAGCCTTGAGGATTTTACAGAGTTTGTAGCACTTCCTGTGGTTGGACCCAGACCAATCTGCTAAGAAAGGTGCATTTGTGGGATCCTGAACTGGAGGATAGAATAGGACAGAATGAAATCATTTAGCTTGAACGAGACTTCCAAGGTCATTGAGTCCAGCCATTAATCCAGCTCTTCAAGTCCACCCCTGGACCATGTCCCTAAGTGCCACATCTGCACATCTTTTAAATGGCTCCAGGGCTGCTGACTTCACCACCTCTCTGGGACTCCTGTTCCAATGCTTGGCAACCCTTTCAGAGAAGACATTTTCCTAATATCCGATCTAAACCTCCCCTGCAGCAACTTGAGACCGTTTCTTCTCATACTACAAGCTACCACACTTTGTTACTTGGGAGAAGAGACTGACACCCACCTGGCTACAACCTCCCTTCAGGTAGTTGTAGAGAGCAATAAGGTCCCCCCCCAACCCTCCTTTTCTTCAGGCTAAACAACCCCAGCTGCTTCAGCTGCTGCTCATATGACTTACTCTCTAGACATTTCCCCAGCTCCATTGTCCTTCTCCTCTCCAGCATCTCAATGTCTTTGTTATTGTGAAGGGCCCAAAACTGAACACAGGATTTGAGGTGCAGCCTCAGCAGTGTCAAGTACAGGGGGACGTTCACCGCTCTGGTCCTGCTGGCCACACTATTGCTGATACAAGCCAAGATACTGATCTTGAAGTTAGTGCTTAACTCAGGGGTGTTCACCCTTTGGGGTTTCCTGGTGCACCTCCTGTGATCCGCACAGCCTCAAAATAGGTTTGAAAATGTCAAAATAGGTTTTAAAAGGTCAAAATAAATTGTTTTGACCTTTCAGCTTGTGGGGGAGAAACTGTTACTTCTATTTTGTACCCCATTTTTGTTCCACAGTGGAATGAGAGTTTTTTGCATCTTTGGCTGAAATTTGGGAACGTCTTGTAAACTCACCATTCCTTGACCAGTTCCTTCCACAGCCCTTCCTTAATAGCAGCTTTGCAGACTCCTCTGGGTGCGTTGCCAAATGGAAGGGACGCTTTCGCAGGAGCACAGGAGAGAGGTTAAGAGAGGCTGTTTGATTCCCTCCTATCTCTATATTTGCACCAACAGAAGCTAAAAAAAGAAGTGCCTCTGTACCTACAGTTGCACTAAATATAACCACCTGGCTGGTTCTATTTATATATATATGCATCTTTAAAAGCGTGACATGCGATACTTACGAAGAGTTGAGCCTGGAAAATAAATTACGGTGCCAGAGGGCCAGACCTGTCAGTCACTCCCTGCAAGGTAAACCTCTGATTGATTTGGTCCTAGAGAATGGCTGGCTTTTCTCTTTGTCGTCCTCTGGCATAACAAACTTACCTCATTTTCTGGTTTACAAAAAAAAAAAAAAAGCTCAAAAATAATAACTGATACAATCTGAAAACCTGGGGAGAGCTAAGGATCTAGTGTAGAGATTTTGGTTCATTTAGGGTTAAAACCTCCAACCCGCAGCACCAGCAGTATCAGTCACTAATAGTAACCTTGCGTAGCTGCATGCATTAAGGTGGTATTGGATGATAAGGCAGAAGAGCGAAGCAATCTGCTGGGCTACAGCTGAAAATAGAGTCACTGCTGCACAGGGAAAAGCTTCATTCCCTCCCTGGCTCCTTCTTCAGAAATGAGAATGCAGGGAGTCATGCCGAGGGAAGGAAAAATCTGATTTCCCACTGCCAAGAGACAGGGTGGCACTTGTGAGAAGGATTTCAAGGTCACAGTGGCGATGCTATCAGTGGTGATGAGGGAGCCCAGCAGACAACAGGTGAAGGCTTCCCAGAGGTGGCGGTGCGCTGCCGAAGGAGATCATCCGATAGCTGTGGCAAGCTGCCTGCTGGGGGGCACCTTCAGCCCTCGTTTCCCAGGCAGATGCATGGGAATGTGGCCATCAAGGTGACAATGAGGAGGAGTGAGAGGTAAAGGAGCCTTATGTGTCTGTAGATAACTGGGTCTCTGGTCATGCTGCATGAAAGGACTGTACTCACCTTTTTACACCTTCCCCCTTTGCCCCTGGGTACCTCCCTGTCTGCGTTTGCACTCTGACATACAGGAACCACACTAGCTGGTGTAGAATAGACAGTATATGCAACAGCATGGCTCTGAGGTAGGGGTCATCCTCACACCCGGGTGGTCACACCCAAGGATGGGCACAATCCCCTCCGCATGGCTGCAGACACCCACCATCACACCCACCAGGCAGTCCTCAAGCATTCCCTTCCCCCTTCACTGCCCACTGTCCTGGTAAACCTTCTCCTACTATGGGCAGCTCCTGAGATGTCAGGAGGGCAAAGTCAATCTAGGAACAAACCCATTTTTCCTTTAATCACACGTATTCAAAGGTAAATAAATGAAATGGCAGGGAATCGGGAGGCTTGGACAAGGCCAAATGAACTCTGGTGGTGTTTTAAAGGCAGTGAGGTCTCAAAATTGCAGCTCTGTCAGTAAAAGGCAAGGATTTAAAAGCAGGACCCTGTATTTCCACTGATACCCTTAGTTCCAATTGTGTTCCACCTACAACTCTAATCTTGGACAAACCACTTACCAGCTTGGCACCTCTGTTTATTCCTCTTCATGTGACAAAGAAAAGTCATGAACCACTTCACAGGCTTGCATTAGAGTTTCATAACTAACGTTTATATGGGTCTTGGAGATCCCTTCCTGAGAGGTACTGCACAGGGGGCATCTACATCAAAGGTGCAAATATACACAAAACAGGTTTGGCAGTACAAGAACTGGCTTTTGCAGAGGGGCTGATGAACTGAGGGCAGCAGTGTGAGCAAAGGTTGCACAGCCCAGTCAGGATACGTTCCAAGGTGATACTGAGACCTTACTAGAGGGCAATGGAAATTTCACCCTTTTAAGAACTGGTACAAGACAATCAGGATGTCATAAACTTAATCCAGACCACATCTCCTAAATCATCTGTTTTGGGTGGAGAATTAAAAAATGCCACTTAGTATGGCAACAAGCACTCTGACCTACCTCTTTGTTTTTTCACCAGTCTTTTTTGTCCTCGTATGCTCTTGCTCTCCAAACTCCAGAGCTGATCTGGACACTTGAAAGCCTGCAGTCAAGGGTTTCTCTGATTATGCCAACACTCATCAATCCCACTGGCAGAAATACTTACAGATCCTTGGTGCTCTTTTGTAATTAGGGAACAAGTATATTCTTGCAGATTAAGCACTGGGGAGGTATGTGGGAGATCTGGATTAAATTACCTCTAACAAAACCTTCTTGCAGAAACTTCCAGAGTGCTGAATACCACACTCCTATTCCATATTCAGTGAATTTCCCCTGTGAAATCTATATAAACATTTCTGGTAGTACTGGCTACCTGACCTGATCTGTGCCCTGAAATCTTATCTACCCTGTGTGTGTATATATGTATATATATACCTCTTGTCATAACCATAGGACTATGAAGCTACGGGGACCTAAGTAATATTACAATGTAAGGGAGATAGGACCCATCTTATAGGATATTCTGTTTTGCAGGGGTGTTTTTTTCTAGCGCTTCTCTCCATTTCTCAGTTTTCCATTGCCCCTCGCTGGGAAATTGAGGACTGCCAGGGGTTGACGCTCAGGTGTTTTCCTGGCTGCTAATTTGTAGCTTTAAATAAAAAGGAAAGTGGAGCTGACTTGTAAGGCCAGGTAGGGCTGACGCTGTTCCAGCAGGGATCAGTGGGAATGAGAAGGTGCTGCTTACCCCACGCTGACCCTGAGCAGTGGGAAATTGAGCAAATAGCTGCCATCACTGCACGCCAAAGCTGCACCCTACAGACCTGAAACACTCTGTCTAGTGAGGTGGGTAACAACTCCTCTCATCCAGAGAGCGAAAATGAACCAAAAAAGAATTGCAACAAAGTCAAAGACAGCTGGAAAAATCCTGCTCTTTTGCCTTCTTTTGCCCATTTTCTAGAGTAAGGTACAAAGGCTGCGTTCTGAGTGGGGGGAGCCCAGTGCAACTTCACTGGGACCATAGCAATACACTAGCTGCTGCCACTGCTTGTGTGCATGAGGACTGGGGGGGATAAAAGGCTATTGCTGGTGTAGGGCCAAGGAGAATCAGAAGAATCATCTAAGAATCAATGTGGGTGCAGCTGCCTGTACTTCACTTGGACCAAGAGCCCTAGCTGCAATGGACAGGACATAAATACTTAAAATAGTCCCCTGTTGGACACTGAACTGTGTCTATGCATTGCCAAATAGAGTTATTACAGCTGTACTACTTTCACTGTTGCCTGCCTCATGTGAAACTTTCCTTGTAGGGTGGGTCAAAAGCCTTTTGCCATTGCGGGGCTTTCCAGCCAACACCATTATGGCATTAGACAGTCAGCATCACATTTAAACACTGAAAATAGGTTTTTTTAGCTTCTGAACTTGGTCAGAGAAAGAAAGACAACAAACCACTACTTCAATACAAAAAAAAATATTTCAAACAGAACTTTAAATTCTTTTCTAAAGTCCCTGCTTTAAGAAATGTCACATCATGGCTTTCCATGTTGGCAAATCATGCAGGCTACTCTTTGTAAAAGAAAGATAGGAGTGAATCTTTTCCCAAGCAGACACACTGCTCAGTGTGTAGGGGTCTGCTGTTGGCAGTGCCAGGCTGTGGCTTGCATATCATTAGTGACCTGTGAGGCCAGGGGACAAGATCTCCAACCAGGCTGCACATTGTGTCAGGACCCCTACCCAAAGAAAGCCTTGTAAGTGGCACATGACATGGCCCCAGTGCAGGGACTTGGCTTCTCTCTGAGTACAGTGACAGGTATGCCCCAGCACATGGCAGTGGCCCACATGCCACGATCTGTTTGGCATGGTGAGCAGTAATAAACAGGCCTTACTCTATATTATTATGGACTCAAACTGGGCTGTGCTGCCAGCATGCATGCAGAAGACATTCAGGAAGGACAGACAACTTTAGGATCAGAGCATGAGACAAGAAGCATCAGAGCATGAGCAAGATCCTTTGGGGATCAGCCATAAACTCCTTATGTGAGAGGGAAACATCTCCCTGCTTCACAGTCATGCAGAAGAAAACCTTCCCCCCTAACACAGACCAGGGCTGTAGAAAATACCCAAGCAAAGCCAGGTCCTGCCATTCTTACTCCTGTACTACCCCTTTCTGCCCTCCGAAAGGGATGTAGTGCCGTAATATAAAATGAGGTCCAGCATTTAATCCAGCTGCACACAAAGAGACATGAAGAATGCTTGTGGCACCCACTGTTTCCCTTACTCCACCATTTCCATTTCTAATTTTGTATCCAGATTTTGTGTTTATCTTTCTTGAAGCCATTCAGTGCATGCTGGGATTTTAATGCCTGGAAGATGTATTAAGTAATGAGCCTCTTAAGTACAGCTGCATCCCCTCAGGTGTCTCCTGGGTCTCCTGTGGGATCAGGCTCTTTCCTACTTTTGTCACTGGCATAAGGCTGTGCCAGTGGGGTGACTGCCGCAAGGATTAAACTAGGGTCAGAATTATCTCAAGATTTTGATTACTGAGGCCAGACCTTAAGGAGAGTGGTAGAAATACAGAAAGGAGGTTGTACCCAAGCAGCACAGTGGGTATCCTGGGCTATCATGGGTCCTGAAGGTGTGCTGCACCTCACTGCCCAGCACTGCACAGATAACCCAAAGCTGAAACTCCAGGAGAGCTGTGTTATCTCTGTTTTTCCTATGTTTTGTTTTGTGCAAAACCAACTCAAAAATCTCAAGGTTTTATTCTTTGGCAGGGTTTGGAAGGAAGAGGAGAGAAGCAATGTTATGGGTAACCCAGAGCCTCAGATTGATGTTGTCAAATCCCAGAGGAAAGGAGCCAGGAAAGGGTAAAAGGGAAGTGGGAGGAGAACTGGGGTTCCAGGAATTGTTAGCTGCACATACAGGAAAAACAAAATTGCCCTCCCTTTCTCAGTAGCAGCAGCAATGGAGATGCTTTCTTGTAAATACTGAGATATGTATTTAGTCTTCAGTCATGTGCCTACATGTGTCCATGCTTGCAACAGTGATCAAGGAAAAGGTTGAATT